CAGGGGACGAAGAGGAGAAAAGCCCCTGGACATGACGAAATCTCTAATGAGGTCCTCAAAAAGCTACCGAAAGCAGCAATTGAGGACCTAACCACAGTGGAAAATGCAATCTTGGACCTCCATAACTTCCCGAACATCTGGAAAAAGACACTTGTGGTATTGGTTGCTCACGTCCTACAGGCCCATCAGCTTACTACCAATGATGGGTAAAATTATGGAGAGGCGTATCCTGTACCAAATCCAGGATACAATAGAGGATAAGAAAGTGCTGCTGGATGAGGAACATGGATTCAGGCCGGGCCATGGCACAAGCACACTTGCCGCCCGGCTAACAACGAGAATCCAACAAGTGTTAAATTGCCGAAAAAGTCTAGGAGCTGTCTTCCTGGACATGTCTAAGGCATTTGACAAGGCTTCGCACCAGGCCCTGATTGCCAAGATGATTAAGGCAGGCTTTCCAGGGTACCAAGCCAAGCTCATCAGCAGTTACTTGTCTGGACGCAGTTTCCAAGTCAGAGCAGACAAGCAGCTCTCTGCAAGCAGGCCAATGATGTCAGGAGTATCGCAGGGGGAGGCTCTGGCCCCTATCCTGTTCAATATCTACATGGCGGACTTTCCAATCAACACGAACACAGAAGGCTACATCTACGCTGATGATGTAGCCTTCACTACCGTCGGGAAGGGTCCTGCCATCCAAGCCAAGCTGGAGAGCCAGCTCTACAAGGTCATGAAATGGAGTATGGACTGTAAAATGGAGTTCAATCCAGCAAAAACACAAGCCATCATATTCACAAGAGGCAGGAAGAATCCGCCCAGAGGCCTACTAGAGCTTGCAGGACAGGGGCTACCATGGAGGTCCAAGATAACCTATCTTGGACTTACATATGACAAGCGTCTAATATGGCACGACCAAATGGCAAACACCATCTACAAGGCAAGATTCCTGCTCCATGCCTGCTATCCTCTGCTGTCAGGTAAACTCTGCCTACGAACTAAGGCCAGAGTTTATTACAAGCAATTGATACGCCCGGTGCTGACCTATGGATCTCCTGGGGGGTCCATAGCCAGCACCTCGCAAAAGCAGAAACTGGCAGTATTCCAGAATAAAATACTGAGGATAGTGACAAAGGCCCCATACTTCGTCAGAAATACCACTCTGCGAAGAGACCTGGATACAGAGGACTTGCTGGACCACATCCGGAACCTGGATAGGATCCGGCATAGCAAGAATCCCCACCGTCAGTGTTTCTTGCACCAAGAAGTTCAACTGTTCAACCTCTCCCTGCGGACACTGTCTAAGAAGCAGACGTGGACCACAAGCGATGACCAGTTCCTGCACCACAACGAGGACCATGGGCTAGATTTAAGTTAGCTTAGAAAGCATTAGAGGATGTGTTAATGTTTAGTTTAGGTTAGAATAAGTTAGATTAAGTCATGTGATGTAATTTTAAACGACAAGATGTTAGCAATAAGGTTCCGTAGAATAAGTAGCAGTAAGAAGTATGTAAAACTTGTCTGAAATAAATATGTTCAAAAGCAGTAGTTGAACCAGTCTTAATCGGAAAGCGCGGGAGATCACTTCGCCAACTGCCTCATCGCCTTTGATAATGTGCACCGCAGTTGTGAACGAAACGTCATTAAGAAATTCCCATGGACCACGACTTCAAAGCCCGAAAAACATTTCTAAATATGATTGTACTCTTTGCCAATATATCGATCGGTACCTACCTTTAACACTTTTATCCCTTCCACCTGTTTTTCATTGATAAATCGTCCATCGATAGAATTCAATTAGAATCTTATCTTTCCTGGGTCTCAGTCAAAGTGTGAAGTAAAAATAATATTGTTTATTTTATTATTTAATAAAATAAAATTTAATGAGACAAAAATAATTTAATGAAATAAACGATATTATTTTATCCAGAAAAGATAAGAATCTAATAAGAATTACACGCAGTCAGGAAAATGAATCAAAATAAAATTCAATGTTGCTCTCAAACAAATTGAGATTAATAAAAACACATTCTTGGGGATTTAGCTTAAAAAAATTTTACTATTTTTTGTCGGAGAAACTTCTCCTCTTTTTGATGCGAATTATGCAATTTTTCGAAACATTAATCCACTTTGAATTTTATTGAATCCGGACGAGCGTCCTCAGGTATTAAATTATCCTTTCAACGGTAAAATTATGTTTCAAAGCCTAAGTTTGCAAATTACCTACTCTTATTGGTTTTTTGTATAGATTTGATTTCAATATATAAGCGTACTTACATTTGTTAATTGTCCGTATCCATACGGATAATAATTACTCTCTGCGTAATAAGGATTAGTGGGATATAAACTTGTTTCATCTGGATTTCTATCACCATGCCTGTAAATCTAAAATTGGATTATTTTACTGTTTAATATGCTGAGATTAAACTACTTTCATTTCTGCATATTCGGAACTACATTTACTGGCATTGGCTCTTATCTAATAGAACAGGCCAATTTCAACAATTTTGTGAATATTTGGTTCATACAATGATTGCATTTTTCATATAATACATTTAGTTACTCACCACATGTACCAACACTAAGCTGGACTCATTTTCATATACTGCACGTCTAGGAAATCCATTAGATATCCCCAATAATAAATCGATAACAGCAGTAATTATGAGCGCTTTCATATCTGTCCGGAGCTTTCTCACTGTATTGCTCTGGAAATTATTTGGAAAGCCCATTTATATATTTTTTCAAATGTTTATTGCTCTTGGTGAATTAAAATGTCTAAATTCGCATGATTAAATGTAATTCGTTCGAAAATTTTACTTAACCATGACTTGATTCCGTGTGAAAATTCTAGTATGGCTAATAATATGCTCAACTATTATATTTAAAAGAGCGATTTACAGGGCGGCCAATTAACTGTCAGTAACTGTAAATGTCGGGGTTTAGAAACGAGGTACATATACAGGGTGGTTTTTTAGTGCGATAGAGTCCATTATTTTATATATTTAAATACTTTTAGGTTAGTATAACGTTGTCACTTTGCCGTTAGTGCTGCCAGCTTTTTTGGGTCAATTTTATATAAAAGACAATTTTACAATACAATTAGACAAAAGACATATTTTATATAAAAATTCAATTATATTAAACGATTAACTTAGGTTACAACATATTACACATAAAATACATTTAACATTTGGAGAGGAATTAAAAAAATGAATAATATACTGGGTGTTTCATTTAAAATAAGCAAGTTGACACCAACTTCCCGTATAACCGGAAGTGTGGCCGGCATCTTGAAAATATTTCAAATAGCTTCCTCCCAATGCCCCGATTACTGTCCAATTTTCAAATTTCCCCCACTTATATTTTGCCGTGCATCGACCGCGATGGTTTCCGGTGGACACACTGTGTATATAGTTATGTAGGTGGCCGTTATGTGTTTTATGTTTTTAGTATTTTTTTTTTTATTTCCCAGCCCGGATATGGTAAGTGGCAAATAGCGTGTCGCTTGAGCATGTAGAATTATTATAAGCGGAAATAGGTATGTTTCATAAATAATATATTAACAATTCAACGTATAAACTCGAATTATTTCCATGTCAGTTTATTGTGATAGTTACTAGAATGTCGTCAAAGTGAATATCTACAAATGTCATTGAAAAAGGGTTGGATTGATTTTGCTACCAACGGAAGCATACATGGCTTTAAGTATATGGTAGATTCTAGTATAAGTGTTGTAGAGAGGTAACTTTTTTCATTCTATCATATTTTCTTGTTGAAAATTAGCTAGATGATAGATGTTTTATACCTTTAGTATTTCTTCTAACTACAGTAAATACTTTTTATTTAACGCAACTTCGTCTGATCATTGGCGGCTTCCCAGGTAGCACACTACGTCTTTTGTACGTCTAAACGACGACATCAGATTCGGCCAGACGTCAGATAGCTGGTCATTTGGACGTCCAAATGACCGCTACATGACACATCTGCCAGACGTCTGTTTAATGACGTCGGATATACGTCTGCTTATTGACGTCACTTAAACGTCGGTTTTGGGTCTGTACATGGTCATAAATTACTTTATATTGAGGAAATGTTTTGGTTACAATAAGACACTATAGAATCTTAATTCGTATTTTATTAACAGCAAGCAAGCAAAGATGGTTACAATTTTAATTAAGTAAAAGTAAGTTTACAATTTTGCGCCAAAAATGTTTACATCGTGTAAAAGTGGCATGAATATAAATCTTCTGATTTATTTGGAATTACTAGACATTTTGCCTTTATTTCCGACTAATTCCATTTTTCGTAACCTTTTGACAAACCTTCTATTTCATATATACATAAATCTTTTGAATCTAAAGGATAACTGTAAAGGGAATTATAAGAATCAAACTTTTTTGCTACAATAAAATAAATGTTATCAAATGAACAAATGTTATGGATCTCCAAAACTAAACCACTTTTTGTCAAGCAATGCGAATTAGCTCTAGAATAAGAATAAATACTTAAACTAAATTTGTTTCTAAATATCTTTTTATATTGTTTTTAAACAATTCCTACTACTGGACCATTGTTATGCTTTAATAAATGTAGGGTATCCTGTATATATGGAACAAAACATACCTCACGTTCATTTAATCTTCGGTATATCTGTTGCAACGGTTTAACTGGTGATCATATAAAGCTTTTTAAGAGTCCCAAAAAATTTTCAAATGGGAACGCCGAAAAGTTATCTAACGTTCCAAATCTATCAACTTCATCAGCCAAATGACATAGGGTATGTGTATTATAAACATGAAACTGAGAATCATATATTAACTGGCCATGCTTTATAAAAGTATTTAAAATATGTGTGGCTGTGTAAAATATGTGTATCTTTCAAAATTAGACAAATGGTCAACTGAAACTATGTCAACTGAAACTAACTAAAAAATGTTCATAAATAGCTACGTCGTCATTATCTTGTAGAATTAGCGGTCCAAAATACAATATAAAGTTTCTAAATTCGGTAGCTTTCCAATAAGAAATTTCAGACAAAGTCCTAGGCTTTCTATTGAATTCATCAGGAACAAATTTCTTTAAGTACAACATATTTTTACTTAAAGCCTGTATTTGCGAGTTCTTCATTCTTACATGCAAACTCCCAGAAATCCATGTAACTAACATTTTTTTCATGACTCCCAAACAGGCTACGTGCATACAATCAATTGTGAAACTTGATACAAGTCCAACACCCAAATTAAGAACGGATGATTTCCTTTATGATGTTCTTCATCGTCCCCGCGAATAAACTGTTCGTCAGTTCGGAGCTATAACAATTATTATAGCTTGCGGATTCTGCGATTTCAAACGTTGGCACAAACACGCTTTTGATTTACCAAAACACGGAAAATTCTATTTTTTATAAATACATTTTTTATTTATAAAATTTGAGAACATTGTGAAGACTGCCGAAAGCAGGTATTTTTAAAAACCTGTCCGTTACACCCCAAATCTGAGACATTTTCAAACAATTAAAGCTTAAATAAGCCCCACCGACGCTTTGGCAGAATGATGAAATTATTTATATTGTCCCACAATATAAATATCATATTATTCGCAGTGTGCGTGAACTAAAACACAAAAGAATCGTTTTCTCGGTTTATACACATTTGTTTTTCGAAAATGCCCGGACACATCAACTGAAAAAATATAAATTCAACAGGAATCGTTGAATGACGAAACTATAGATTAACTAAGAATGTAAGTAAGGACGAAACCTATTTCGAAACTCGTAACCCCGAATTATTAGTTGGAAAAGAGAACTTTCTGAATATCAAAAATGTTCTTAGTTTGAAGCAAAGATATTAATTTTTCTTTTTGAATGTTTAAGTATTCCAATATGCTTCCAATTAAACATGGAACACTCTCAAAATAATGCATAAGAACAAAGTTGAAATTCGATTTACAACTGTTAATATCTTCTATAAATTATCGTGAAAAAAATCTCAATATTTTTCTCGTACATTCCAAGTGAGCCCCTATTACCCCTTAAAAGGAATGACACCAATTTTGAATCCCCTGTATTTGATACTTTTAAGCAACAGCTAATAAAAGCTAATACCTCATTTATGTAGGTCATGTCCTCTTATTTTTAACTTACAATTTTATAAATTAACTTTCTACAACATAATAGTATCAGGTCCCTTCAGACTCTTTCTCATCCTGACTAAGCTCGTTAATTGGTTTAGAATTAAATCTTGTCTCCATCATTCAGCTAATGGAAAATAATAAATAGTAACTTCTGGCCTAGAATTTTACGTATAGTTCGAATACACAATAAAAAGTACGGCATTCCATTAAGAAAATGTAAGCTTGATCTGCCACTTGAATTTGAGACACCCTGTATCAATTTGTATTATCTTAACAGAAACTATACATAATATCTACAACTCTCATATTTAATATCTTTCTCTAAATTTCAAATTAGATGTAAAAACGGGGTGGCCAAAGTTATATTAGAAGTATATAAGATAAATATACAGGGTGTTCGGAAAATGCTTTGAAAAATTTTCGAAGGAGGTTCAATGTGCTAAAATAATGGTAGCAAGTCATGTAACGAAAATTCGAAATCTGAATATTTACCGAGGTACAGCTCATCAAACCTAATTTTTCTCTTTTCATTTTTGACCTGTATTGAACAGTTCCGAACACCATGCATATGGTGACCAAATGGAACAGGTGTTCACTTGCCTGTGAATTCTAGAATTAGTTAGGCTTTTAGCCCCGTATGAAAGTAAATTTTCTATGCAAAATTATATTACTTTATTTGAAAATACTCCAATTATGGGGTTGAGTTCAAAATCCAAGTGTAAAATGTGTAAAAAATCTAAGTGTAAATATCTAAAAGTCACGACTTATTCTCTCTTTTATTAATAATGTACTGCTACTTCTGTTGATATTCAATATTATTAACGCACGCATGTGAAGATTTGCATGTGTAACAAATAAGTGTATTAATAGGGCGTTTTTGGGCCCCTTAATTGCAACACGCTTTATGTTATCCGTTATTCTGAGCATGCGCGCTAGTAAAGAAAGAACCGTTTACGTTATTCGAGGATAACGTGTTTCTTTATTTGCGTCCGAGTAGCGGTAACGTTAATAAGCATCACGTTAAAAAGCAGATCGACGGTGTTGACATATTTGACTTATTTCTAATATTATTAATAAAATAAGCGGCTATAATAGAATAAGAAATATTTGTAAATTTAAATAAGACTTTCTCATTGATTAGTTTACGCCATTATTGCGTAATTACGGATTTTATGTAAAAATTGTTTGGGCTAATTTGAACTTTGGCAACATACTAACATCGCAATCACAGCTTCTAACTTCTAACCCATAATCTAACTATTTAAGTTTGAATTTTTATTTAATTTGTTTGGAATATGTGCAAACAAAACGGGATAAGAAAACAATAAAGTGTGGTTAATTTTATTAAGAGTGCGACAAACGCGGCATCAAAAACTAAAAAACGCACTTAACATTATTTGCCTGAACACCTTATTTTTTCAACACTGCGCATGATTAGAATAACGTTTAGCGTTTAAGGCCAACGTAATTTTAAGGGGCCTAAAAACTCTCTATTAATAGCTTTATTCGCGGTAACGATTCAGAACTGGTTCGGAACTGATCGCATGCGCGTAGAGGTATTTGGGGACTAATCTCATGCGCGTAGAGGCATTGGGTGTTTGCGGTACAGTAAGAACTGGTACAGAACCCATTCGCTACCGGTTCTACAGTAAAAATCCGTAAATTCATTATTAGTTACTCTCTCCTTAATATACTAATATGTCTGTATGGGTTTAAATTTGGTAAATAATATATAGAATTTCACTTATTCATCGTAACCTAACCTATACACATGGCTGCTTTAAAAGTAAAATGAACTCTTAAATTTGTATTTTGGGCATCATGAGAACAATATGGAATAGAAACGCGAGGATTCTTTGTGCACTGTACAAGGTAGAATTTGCCCAGAACACAAAGTACGATCGAAGGCATATTCTATCTGTCTCGTTATTAGCTTTTTGTTCGTACTTTCATTAAAATGATCATTGCAACAAAAAAACATTGATTTTGATTTAGGTCTAGCTGCTTTGAACAATAATCAATAAAATAATGATAATCACAGTAACTTAAATAATAAAACAACAAAATAAACACGAGACACTTTGTTGATATGAMCTGCTACGTCACAATCGGGATAGGCAACCGACGATACGGATTCGGCGTTTTTGGCGGAAAATATCTGATTTAAATTTAAATTCGCTTTAAAATTATTATGGAGACTTTTTTTGCAAAAAAAATTATATCAGTGTAATGTTTGCCATAACTACTTTCTATATATCAACATTAAAAAAAGTGAAAACACCCTATTCCAAGCTAATTTTTACCATGGCGTTCTGATCAAAATTTGTTAAATAAAAGCAGTATAAACTTAATAATCAAACCTTATTCAAATTAATCAAAAACTGCCACTTTTCGCCACAGATCAAAAGAAACACAACTAATTCCTTTTTTTTAACTTCTGACAAACAAATTCAAAAAGCACTAGTGCGGTAATGAATATTATTATAACAGTTGAAAGAGTGCCAAATCTTCGTCATTATATAACAGTTGTAGATAAATTATTGAATTAATTAATGCTATAACAGATAAATATTTAAACCACTTACTTTAAATCTTGAGGTCAACACAGTCGTGGTGATCAGTAAAATGACTTATTATATTCATTGAAAATAATAAATTATTATCTATTATTTGAGTAGCTCAATTAATCCCGACAATATTTAAAAGTGTGATTAGACATTGATAAAATCTGCAAACAAATAGTAATCACTTAATCTGATAATTCCTTTGCATTAGTGTCATTCGAATTCTGAAACATTTTAATCATTGAACATTTGAAACATTTGAAAATGAATTACGGTTTTGAAAGAACACGTCAATTTATATACAAAAGGATTTAAACCAATATTTTAAGTAAGAGTATGTCGCACCCCGCGCTCGGTCACTTCGGCGTACCTGAAGCGAGCCAATTTTGAGCTTGAATTTCAATGTTATTTCTTGTTGTTATAAATAGAGCATTTTTTAGCAAACCGTCTGTAATAAAAAGATATATATTTTATCATTTATAAATCCAACTACAGATTATTCGGCAACTTCTACTTCAGGCTTCGCCACCGATGTTAGAACTTGTTCACTAAGTCTATTCGGATCACATCGAGGGTCAGGCAAAATCAGATTCCTAAGGCCCTCATTAGAACATTGTAAACTATTTAATAATGTACCTTTTCTTTCATTTATTTAACGTTGATATAAAGAATTTGCTCAATTTTTGCTCAAACTAGGTGCACTCATTAATTTGACCTAAATGTAATAGTCTGTTCAATGTTGAACATTGTCAATGGTGACTTGACTGAATTCATAAATTAATTTATTTATTTTATTTATTTAACCAGAAAAAATGTACAGCAAATTATACATTAAACTGCAAATTATACAAAAACCCTGCAGATATATATATCTATACGTATATAATGTACTAAACCTAATGTTTGTTTCTCGTTCCAGAGTGTTTTGGATCATAATAGTCCTTTGTAGTCTAGCAGCCTCTATTTACATCACCATATTGTTCTGGGCCCGGTATGCGGCCAATCCCACAAGAACTATAATACAGGCAAACTTTGCGCAAATCTCGACAGTTCCATTTCCAGCTGTAACAATTTGCAATGTAAACAAAATGTTGAACAGAAAGTTGGATAGTCTAATGGATACTCTGTAAGTAAGTTGGTCAACTATGCTCATCAAAAATCCACTTAACTTGACGTTTTTCTTACTATTTAATACGAATCTTTTGAAAATAACATTGGCTATGAATGTTTATAAAGTGAGTTCTATTTTTTTTAATGCAAAAGAGTAGGCTTTTCTGTCCAAACTGATGGATTTGATTCTCTTCGCAGAAAAATGCTTCTAGTTTTAAGTTATTATCTTGAGACTAGAAAATTCACTATTAGAACTAACATAATGGCATCGGGTAAACTACAGGGTGATTCAAAATTGGCGTCATTCCTCTGGAGGTGTTGTCTGACGCTGTTATAGGAGTACAGAAAAAATAGTAAAAGA